TACGTACGGCCTGGTTTATTTCCTCGAGTTCGCTTCTCCTTTAATCAAGTTAACAATTATCGATTATTTTCGTTGAGATTGTATAGAATAATTTTAGATAAAGGATTAGATGTTTCTTGACTGTTTCTCGAACAAATTGTCATTTTCGAATAGTGGAAATTTCTGATTTTTGAAAATGGTACACATAATTAGATTCGGCCTGAAACATTTTTCGCTAAAGAAAAGTCACAACTTTCACCTGCTGCCTCACCTTGCTACACAATTTTCGTAAAACGAATAAAATGAAATATCATTCGCCAATTCGATATCATTCGTTCCGGAGAGATGAAATCCAGGAAATAAATTCCAAGAAAAATAACAATCCTTATATAAAGGATTGGAAAAAAAAAAAAAAGAAAGAAGAACCTTCGAACTTTCGAACCTTCGTATTTTCACGAGTCTTTCAGAAATAGAAATAGGGATGCAGCTGCACGATGGGGTGGAGGAGGAACGATCCAGCCACTCCTCCTCTGCCACTCGATTCCAAGAGCGGGACGAAGGTTTTAAACAGAGAATAAAGAAGGAGGGAAGGATTGGCGCACGCAGCCCCTCGACGGGTTTAAAAGTTTAAGAAGCTGAAAGTACGTACACCATCCCCCACCCCGTCCCGTAAATGGAAAGACACAAATGTATCCTGGGAGCCGGTAAACAGCAGTCGTGGCTCGCAGCCTAGGCCGCGGTTCAATATAAATGTAAATTGGAACAGATTCGAGTGTGGCGCGGAACACGGTCGCTCGAGAAGGAAGAGGTCCAACATCGACCTTTTATTATATATATATATACACCTCGAAGCCTGGCATCTTGGAATTCTCTTATCGCTATCGAGGATAGGTCTACACACCTGGAATCGACGCGGGGAAAATTTTATTCGCCGTCCAAAGCGACGGAATCTGACCCCGTCGAGGGCTTTTGTTGATCGGTTGTAGTACAGCCGATTCGAATTACTTTCGATCCTCTCCTTCTAAAATTGAAGCTCGAAAGGGGGGAATTTTTTAAGGGGGAAATTCTTTATTATTATGTATATTTCAGCTAAGATTCGTGAAGAACGATATCGAAAATATGCCGATATTCGTGGGATGATTTACGTCAATTCTATATTCAATTGTGAATATAGTAGAAAGAATTTTTTTAATTACTTTCAAAGTAGAATAAGAGCAGAATAATCTTTCTATCCAATTTCTTTGTTATTGTTGCGTAATTGAAGCATGGTTCGATCCGGCGAATTTAATTCCGCCAATGAAACGGGATAAAGAGAAATTTACAATTGAGATTTAATAACACTCAAGAAAACAGGGCCGAAGGAATATTGTTAATTCCCTGGAAAAAAGCCAAATAATACCAATTGAACCTGTTACCTCGAACGATCCTGTTTTCTTTCTGCCCCGCACAACATTTACCTTTCTCCTCCTTCTTATTAGCTCCCGCCGTCAAGCCGAATTTCAACGATCCTCTTTTACGCGAACACTTGGAAGAAATACAAAAGGAAGAAAAAAGGAAACGTTGGTAGAGAAAACGGTGGTAAAAGATAAAAAGGATCCAACGAAAGAAAAAAAAGAGAGAGAGAGAGAGAGAGAAAAGAAAAGAACAAAGAATACCAACGAAACAAC